TATATTTTCTGTTATCTTTTGTCTCTCTCTCCTTTCCTTTGGAGATTATTTTTTAAAGAATTCTTAAAAAACTTTAATTTGAGAGACTGGAAGAGAGTGTGTGTGTGCAAGTGGCAGAGGGGCAGAAAGAGAGGGTTTGAGAGAGAATTCCAAGCAGGCTCTGCAATCTCATCCCTGAACCTGATATGGGGCTTGATTTCACGAACTGTGAGATCACGACCTGAGTTGAAATCAGGAGTCAGATGCTTAACCAACTAAGCTGCCCAGGCGCCCCACCTTTGGCAATTCTAATGACATGTATATCAGGTCACTTGAAGTTCACCGATAGTTTCTTTTTTTCTTTGTGTTTCATTTTGGGTATTTTCTGTTCAGTTTGTTAATCTTTTCTTCTGCAATGTCTAACCTTCCCATTAATTCCATCCCATGTGGTTTTCATTTCACACACAGTATTTACAACTCTAGAAGTTTTATTTGAGTCTTACTTAGTTTCCATGTTCTAATTACCTTCTTGAACACAAGGAATACAGTGATAGTAACTACTTGTCTGCTACTGTTAACATCTGTATCACTTCTGAGTTGCTTTGGAAGGGTTAAGTTATCTCCTTACTATGAACTACATTTTCCTCTTTATTTGCTTGTAGGGTTATTTTCAACTAGAGACCAGACATTCTTAATTTTAATCTGCTGGGTGCTGCATACCTTTTTTATTTTTAGAGATATTTTTAAGCATTGTTCTAGGATTCAGTTAATTTGGAAACTGTTGCTATTTTTGGATCTTACTTCTAAGGTTTTATAGGAAAGACTAGATCATACTTAGTCCAGGGCTCATAATATGCTTTGTATCAGGAGACAAGACTCTCCTGAGCACCTACCCAAGTGGCCCGTGAACTATGAGGTTTTTCTGTCTCGTTATATCCACCCCTGTGTGGGCCAAGTTTAATTCTCCCTAATTGCACGAGCTTCTTTTCTCTGCTTTGGCCATTCCCCTCACATGCATGCACTGAGAGTTTTCTGCTGAATATTTGGGGGGGATCCTCTGTGTGTGACCTTCTCCTCTCTGGTACTCTGTCCTATGAATTCCAGGCACCTTGGCCTCCCCAGATGCCCAGCTCCATCTCCTTAGCTCAGGGTGTGCCGAACTCCTCTGGATTTTCCAGACCTTGGGCCATGGGCTGCAGGCTCTCTCAAGGCAGGTGCTGGAGCAGTCAGAGGGCTCACCTCGCTTGTTTTCTGTCCCTCCAGGATCGTTGTCCTTCATCGGCTAATGAATGCACCTTCATCGGTGTCTTAAAAACCATTGTTTCTTATATTTCTTTAGGTTATTTGTTGTTGTTGTTGTTGTTGTTGTTGTGATTCTTCCTTAAAAGTAGGTAAACCTGGACCCTGTTACTTCATCTTGACATCATGGCTGGAAGTGGAAGTCACCCCAGGTTTAGCTGTTTCTATAACTTAAGGCTTTGGAAATCCCACCATTCAATGACAATAATGAAAGTAATGCCAAACTACCAAAAATACAGGTTTGTTTACTCTATAGTGGAGTTGGATGCATATGGCACTTAGAATACAAGTGCGGCCCTTGCAATCAGGACCACCTACTGGGGTCTTGTGGGGAAGAAATCACCAAGTCATGCGTGGTTAAGGCCAGTGACTTGGTTACGACCTGGATCCTCCCCATCTCCTCCTGCTCCTCACGTTGGGCCCGTCCTTGCCTTGCCTCAGGCTGGTCGTCATGTCCAACTGAGTATGTTGTCTCTGGGAGCCTGCTGATTGGGCAGGGTCTTCAGATAACCTCCGTGTTTATTCTGACCCAATTCCTAACGCCCTAGGCATCGTGCTTCGTGCCCCATTTTTGCCATCATCTTTCAAACCTTTCTTTCTTTTTATTTGAACTTTATGCTTGACATCATACCATTAACTAGAATAAGACAACTGTCAAACTATGGTTTCTACTTTTACTTGTTGTACGCCACTGATGCCTGAAAAAGTGAACGTTTACATGATACTCCAACTGCTAAGCTACACTAAATTCACTGTCCTTGTCAAGGCTGCTGTCCCCGACTCTAGGGACAAGTCTGAAATTTCCCAGTTCTCTTATTTTTTATTCATTTTGGCCACATGGCCAGAGATTCTGTTTCCTTCTTCACTACATTTATGTTGCTATCGTGTTACCTCATTAAACATTAATAGCTTAATATCTGGGTATCTCCTTATTCTATCTCTTTTAGAAAGTAAATAAAATAAATAATAGATTCTTTGAAAATGGTCAGATTTTAGGGGAAAGTGGAGTGTACAAAGATATCTAAAATGTCCGACGTAATAATAAGTGCAGAATATATTTCTATAGTTCAAACCTTAGGTGTTCATAAAGTTCAATTACAACAGAAACAACCAGTAAATGTGAGTTGAAAGAGCATTCATTCACATTTTGGAAATCTCTAAACTACTATATCCAATTGTTTCAATATTCTGTGACAAACAAAATAATTGTACTGTAAATGAAAATAAAAGTAACCAAAGTCCGTGTTGACTGTGAAAAAAATGTATCACTCTGCTGCCTTAATACCGTTATGTTTTTCTGGTGCTCATAAACCAAGTAATGAGTCTCTTAAAGTTTAAAAAGCACTTAAGACCATTATGAGGATCTAGTTTGCTAGTCAATTTGTTACAGAAAAAGAGTGTGCATGATCTTCCTATAAAGAGAAGTTATTGTTTCAGATGATGAGGTCTATAAAAAGCTGTCTCTATATAGAATTCTGGTGCTTTACGCTTCACATTTCTGCTTTTGTTTGGGTCATAAAAAGTTAAGGACATGAAAAAAAAAGGCACTAAATTTCAACAGTTGCTATAAAAATACATTCTTAGTACTCTAGGTTTCAGATGGTAGCCCTGTCTGCATGAAACTTGATGCCAGTGTGAGTCTTAAATCAATGTTTTAATCATTCAAGACTTTTTCTTAAATAAAATCTATTTTTGAAAAGGAAGGATTTCTCAGTTTATTTTTTTTTGTACAAGTTATTTTCAGTCTTTTAAAAATTATAACACTTAACCAGCATTTAGCTTAATGATGACCTTCTTAAACTGGTTTAATGATTCTTCTTAAATCACCACTATGGATTGTCTATTTTCCCTTCCCACATATTTCCTTACCATTTAATATGATATGTTAATAAATTATACAGGAACTGAAGATACTGTGCCAGGCTATTATGCAAGCTTGTGTATTTGTATTAAGAAAACTCTTATGTAAATATAAACAAATAAATAAATAAATAGATAAATTTATAACTACAAACTCATATTCCTTAGCAGCCCCTCGCCTTGCCTGAGGGCTATTCCATTTTTCTACAGTTATTAGGATGAAGAATGCTTCTTATAGGTAAAGTTGACAAAACTTTTGGCCATACACAATGACAACCCATTGGCCCGTGGCATCCTGCTACCATCCTTCCATCTGGGGTCATGATTGATCTGGAAGCAGTGACATGAAGCAGCCACAGTATTCTCTATCTAAAACTGGCACATCTGAGCAATAAGGTGCTATAATTTTCTTGGGCTCAGAAAGCCCAGAAAAGGTAGAGGCTAGGTTTGAGTTGTAATTTGAATCAGTGCTTCTCAAATTTAGAAGGAGATAGATCTAAGAGTTAGTTCAAGGAAGTGATTTCCATTATTACCTCTTCCCTAATCATGCAAGGCCCTGCTCTAGAATTCCACCTGATGTGACTCAATTTTTGAAGTTTTTCTCTGGTTGAAAGCAAAAGATAACTTCGCTTCAAGTCTAGTTCAACCTGAATTCTTTCTGAACACCATTAGAGACACACTTATGGACACGAAGGAAAGGGACAGTGATGTTCATTCCTAAGACTCTCAAAAGAAGAGACGGGTCTGCCTATACATCAGCAGGCAGCCCCTGGGAGGTGTTGTCAAGGGCTGGTCCCCAAGGGCTGGGGTGTCCCACCCGAGAGAGAAGGTATTGCTGCAGCAATGGAAACAAAGAATGACAGAAGGAGAAGACACAAGAAGGCAGATATTGGAAGCTATTGCAAGAAAGGAGAATGCAGTTGCATGACAATGCTGAGGACAGTATGTGCGGTGCCTATGGTACTGAGCTTCGGAGAATTCTCTGCGTCTTATTAACATTGCTTTAAAGAAAGTGAATGTGAGACAGTGACTTATGAGTATCCCAAGGCCCAGGTTTTTATATTAAATGAATGAAAAACAGATGGTAGAGGTTCAAACTTCCTCTTATGATATATTCCCCATATGCCCTCATTCTTTCATTTGATTACAATCTTTTATGCAATATGACAAGTTAGCTCACGTAATGGTTAGTGATGAAACTGAGGAATTCTTTGCTCTGGTGAATTCTTTTCTACCCAGAATGAGGGTCATGGGAATTTTCCATGACAACCAATCAGGAACAGTGTGTATTTTCAAGAACTCAGAGAAAAAGGCCCTCTTAATCTCCTTCCCCGTTGTACATTCGCTTTAACATTCTGGCTAAAGTGACCCGGCAATACTCTTCTCTGTGAGCCCATAGGTTAAAAATGAAAGAGATTTTTTTTTTTTTTTTTGCTTTGAGGACTGGGCCAACTACAACATTATAGGGGTCTGCATGGGTTTTGATGCAAGGTTTTGGGTGTTAGCTTCCTTAACAGTCAACAATAGCAATAGCTTTGAAAAGCATCAACATGTCACAATCTCCCCTGAAAACAAAATCGCTCAGCTACCCAGATAGAATGGAAAGCATATCACAGCATTTTCCATGACCATACTTACAACTACTCATCTATATTTTGTAGCAATCTTTAAGGGCTTCCGAGTCCTTGAGAGTTTTTAAAAGGAATACCTTTCTATGTCCACCAGCTCCATGGAGCTGGTCTTTCTCTAACATCCTCAAAAACTGTATTGGGGTTGCATATCTCAAAACTGGATTCCTGTTTCTTCCTAAGGACATGCTCATGATTCCAGATTTCCTCTTTACGGTAATGAACTAGTCATACCTTCCAGCTCCCCGCAGCCAAGTTCTGCAGGGCCCCTGCTGCCCCCTCCAGCGTGTCTGCGTTTGAGCACTCAGAGAGCAGTGTGAGGTAGGGTTTGACTATTGACGGGTGCCAAAGCATCTGGATCCCTTTTGGTGGTTCTGCACAGTCTGGAAGAGGTCCTACTCCATCCCACTGGTGGAAGAAAAATAAGAGAGCAAACATTTTTATTATCATTACACTTCCCAACTCGGCCTTCTGTAAGCATTACACACAAAAACAAAGACACGCGGAACATCTGGTGAACATCTATTGCGTGTGGGGTGACGCTTTTTAAGTAAGCCCACAACGAGAGAGCTATGCTTGCCCACCCAGAGCTTATGATGGAAAGTGGAAGGCGGCGGTGCATGTACCTAAGTGAATGTAATTGGCAGGCGAACGCATAAGCTCTTTAAGGACGGTGCCAGCACATTGCTGTGAAAAGGAATAGGAAATAAATTACTTTTGGTGGGTAGAGTGGACAAAAGCTACGGTTCAAGGCAGCATGTCTTAAAGTTAGCATGCTACCGGCATAACACAGTACAGAGTAATACTCAAATGCCCTCCCTTCTTTTATCTATTTATTTCTTTTCATTTTTTTTTTTTTTTTACAAATAGTTTATTGTCAAGTTGGTTTCCATATAACACCCAGTGCTCACCCCACCAGTGCCCTCCTCCATGCCCATCTCCCCCCTCTCCCCCCACCCCCATCAGTTTGTTCTCAGCATTCAAGAGTCTCTCATGGTTTGCCTCCCTCCCTCTCCCCCACTATTTCCCCCCTTCTTCTCCCCCACGGTCCTCCGTTAAGTTCCTCCTAATCCTCCTATCCGTGCAAACATATGGTATTTGTCCTTCTCTGCCTGACTTATTTCGCTCAGCATAACACCCTCAAGGTCCATCTAGGTCTTATGCCTAACTGCCGGCCGATAAATTCTTATACAACGTATAAAATACATATTTGTTTGATTTTGAATTCTATCATTGCATTATAAGCATCAAACAGATGTCAGAATGGGCAAAAAAAAGAAACAATTGCTATGGTTTATCAGATGCATTGACCCAGCTAAAGGCAAATTCAGATATTATAGCGATTCTGATAGTTCAGTTTGCTTTGAATTGAATCTAATAAATAACTGGAGAATGTGTAATTAAAAAGTAATACAAGTGATATGAAAACTACCGCTTATTGCACAAGGGAATATCAGGAGGCCATTAAAAATGATAGTTCTGAAGACCGTGTTGCAATGTGGACAAAGGATAAAAGTGAAATGAACAAACGACGCAAAGTGGTATGTGGTCTGTGCTTTGTACCAGGTAAAATGCACTATAGAAACATGCATGATAATAAAAATTTATTAACAAAATGTTTATGTCTTTCATTTTTTTCTATATTCCAAGTTTTCTGTTACTCTTAGCGTTTTAAAATATGAAAAATTATAATAGTGATTCTGATCTTTGATTACACACAACCTTTTGGGGAAAAACAAAGGCAATACATGCAATGAGGGTAGAAATGAAGTAAGCTCTGTGTTTAGAAAAAAGACTCACATATTCATTTCTGAGAAAAATCCCAGGAAAACAAAATAATCCTTTACAATTTCAGCGTGGTCATATTACTTCATTTAACTGCTTTTTTTGTGTTTATTGATGGCTGTTTAAGATACAGCCTAAGTGACATGTACTAACTTTTCCTGTACATAGCTGGGTTCATATCTATACATGTATGTGTGTCTATATCTATATATAAATACAAAACCACAGCTGTATTTCAAAATCTATTTCTTAGTTCTGAAGAATTTTCTGGAGCACAGGCTTACTTCATATCCTTGTAACATAAAGATGGAAGGGTTGGTAGTGAAAATGTAAAGTCATTTAACTATCACAAATCATTTTAAGAACTGCATTATTTTCTAAGAGAAGACTTAGAAACTCATGTCTTCTTTTTCTCAATTATGATACAGTGTAGTTTAAGCAAAGGCCAAAGCTCAGATGTGAATATCCCAAGGATAGATGTTGGACATCCCACAAAAGGTCACCTTCAATGAGAGTGTCACTCAATTTCAACTTTGGGACAAGGACACTCAACGCGGGGGAATCTGCTTCTGCTTTTAACCAAAGCCACTTCTAAACCGTTTTGAAATGACCTTGCCGGCTTGTGCCAGCCTACTAATGAAACCAGTACATCTCTTCTAAATACAAAAAATGACAAGATTGGAAGTGAACCAAACTTGTCACATTGCTCCTGGTTCATTATTTGAGACGGGCTCACTACACCAGATAGAACGGTAGTGTCAGGGAAAGAGACAAGTCATTCTGTAGGTTTGCAGCCTTCCATGATGAAGCAGGGGGAATATCGACTTCTCCAGAAAGCCAGTTTAGGGAACTGAATCTCTCTGCTGGTGCAATGGGAAATTGAAAATTATTTCATACGGGCTTTTTTTCATTGTTTATTTGGTCATCTTAAAATAATTTTTTAAGTTGATTTCTTTATTTTGAAAGAGATAGAGCAAGCGCAGGGGAGGGGCAGAAAGAGAAAACAGAGAATCCCAAGATTCTTTTGGTGCAGAGCCCAACGCAGGGTTCAAGATCAATGAAACCTGAGATCATGACCTGAGCTGAAATCAAGAGTCAGAAGCTTAACCGATTGAGCCCCCCAGGTGTCCCCTTGAAACTTGTAAGCTATTGTTTTCATATAAAGATTTGATAATATTCAGAAAAATCATACTATGACACTTGAAACTCAGTGGGCATGGCCTTTCTCTCTCATGTAGAAAGAGCTGTAACAGCTGGAGGTGCCCAGAAGTAGAATTTGCATGCTCATTACATAACGCGGTAGCCAAACTCTAAGAACAAAAAGCAGCTGCGTTATCATTTGCTGGGTTTCATCTTGGCCTCCTTTCCTAACTTCTGCACAATAAAATAGGATAAATGGCTAAATCAGTAGACAATTTTCTTCTGCTCTGACACGTGATCTATGTAGCTCTTAAATATCTTTTATTACAATCCTTTCTTAATGACTACAGAGAGAAGCTGAAGGAAATAAAAGGAAAACTGATGTGAATACGGATAATCTTTGATGGCAACTAGAAATGAACTTCAAAGGGGATTCTCTGCTATTTCGGAACGTTGATGGCACCCCTGGTACGTCAAGACCAAAGAAAAAAGAGTTATTTCAAAGCCAGTCAATGTATCTGGCTTTTATCTGGGTATATGATCTCAAACTTTTACTGAGTTAACAGGGAAAGAATTATCAATCGTCTATTAAAAATAGATTTTTACCACCTATAAAAAGACCTTAAGTCTTTTCTATGAGGGTGCTTTACATTATGTTGCCTGGAAACTCAACACCAATGGGACCACAGGGTGAAGGTGACATCAGGATTTGACTTCAGTCGTCAACGTTCTGCACATGCAAACTTTTCATGCTCAGCTTCTTCTAGAGTGAGGGTCCATGAGAAGTCACAGGCTACGCAACTTTATGACCAAAATGGAAAGACATCATTTATCAATTTAAATACAAGCTGCATCCATCCTGAAATTGCACATGGACAGAAGGCAAGCTGTGGCTAAATCTTTGGTAGAATCGAGACACTGATCATCCAGCTATATAGTCTTAAGAACACAGGACTGACTTTGTAAGCCTTAAGCAAATTGCTTGTTTTGGACTATATCTTGAGGGCACATTGCCAAACATTGTCTAAGAGCTTGAAATATGAGAAAAATAAAGAAGCAAAATGTCATCAAGTCAGGAGAGAGAATTTTCTATGTGACAAAGACAGGACACAATCAAGAAGAAAGTATTGTCGAGAAACTAACAGAGGCAATGGTAGCAGAGTATTTTTGTTTTATCATTTGCATTACTGCCAAGTTATGACACACACACACAGACACACTTATATGTATATACATATATTAAGTATTTATATATCTTCATTTATAAGGCTAAAGATTAAAAATCAAGCAGAGAGTAGCCAAAGGGAAAGCAAAAGAAAAAGGAGACAGGCCTATATGGTTTTAAAAAGTTTAATTCTGGCTTTGGGGAAGTTTTCGGTGGATCTCTCTTATTCTTGCTAGTAAATTTTACTTTTATGCTCCTCGGTTTTGTCCCCGTTTTTGTTTTCATCAGTTACATTTTAACAAAACTTGCAAAGTTCTAGAAGGTCTCGATTCTTAGAGGCATTACTTAAATGTTCAAATTACACTCTGTACAAATCATTCATATGTTGTCACCTAAGGGAAAATGTCAGAGAATTTATTTCCGGCATTAACGCTGGCCTTATTCATTGTCTGGTTTGTAGTAATTTAGAATTTCACATATATATTGAGAGCTCAAGAAGTGAAGAATGGAGTGATTTGCACTAGTGTTTTAGATTTTTTTTTTTAATGGATGACACTTTGGAATGAATGTGTCTCCCCCCTCCCCCCCAATTTCCTTTGTTAAAGCCTTAACCCCCAATGTGACGGTGTTTGGATGCAGGGCCTTTGAAAAGTGATTAGGTTTAGATGAGGTCATGAAGATGGATCCCCATGTTGGGATTCGTGTCCCTATAAAGAAGTGAAGGGACCAGAGCTTTCTCTTTTCCATCTTGTAAGGGTGCAACGAGAAGAGGTCATCTGTGAATTTGGAAAAAGCTCTCAACAGACACTGAATCTGTTGGCACCTTTATCTGGGACTTCCAGACCCCTGCAATCTGTGGCATTTTGTTACGGCAGCCTGAGCAGACTAAGCCATAATCACAGTAAGGACTAAGTAAACTTGGTATAGTAGGATCCTTCTGGTTTCCCCATGACCTTTCTTCCGTGGAGCTCTCTTGGGGACAGGCTGTCAGCAAAGCAAGGAGAGCGCAGGGCAGGATTATGTTGACAGCAAATCACAGAGCAAATCAATTGGTTTTGTCACCCCAAATAGTGCCACCTATATACCCTCAGCGCTTTTCTCTACTGGTCTTAAACGTGAAACTGTATGACTAATATCAATAAGACAAAGCAGTCAATAGTTTCTATCATTCACTTTCTAAAACTAGAGAATTGAAAATAGAGATTTTCTGTTCAAGAAGGTAATGCTTAAACCTTTCTGGAAAGGAAGAGAATAATAAGCGTCCATGTTAGAAGCCAAGGAATTGCTGACTTTTGGACATGATGCTTTCTATTATGGT